ATATATATATATATATCAGAGATTAAAATAGATCTATAGCTACACATATATATATAGCTATAGATCTATTTTAATAGAAAAAATGTTTTTAATAATGGATGATACTGCTGCTAGTTTGTCATAAAATAATAGATAGGTTTAATGATGTCAAGACTTAAGTACCTGGGTTTAAGGCTAAAAACAAAGCTAACTTTGAATACAAATATACTGGTGGTGAATACATTGTCTTGAGAAAAATGCCAAACAGTTGTGCAGTGAATGATGAAAAATATAATGAAAGTAAAAATATCCTCCTCAGACCCGAGAATTAAATAATGTTATTTTTAATCAATTTATTTTAAAATTACAATATTTGTATTATAAAAAGTCCATTTATGAATTCAACATCAACCTTTGACCCTTAGTGTTTTTTATGGGACACATCCATTAAAATGGATCTTCGGGACTTAATTAACCATATTATAGCAATTTGAAACTTAAAATTTTTATTGAATTTACTTGTTTTAAAAAATTGAAAGAAAATATGAAGTAAATAAAAATAAATTGTATAGTTTAAGGATGCTTTTATTTCTTATGAAAAGCTAAAAAACAGTTTCTTTCACTTGTAATACATAGAAATACATTGCACTTTATGCATCTGAATTTGGTTTTTTTTCTTGCATCCTGGATTTCTGCAGCATGCACTGTTTTTAATATCACCAGCCAAGTCTGGAAGGTGAATTGCACCATTCACCCGAAAAGCTAGGGATGGATTTGGAACTATCTTTTTATTTTGGGTTGGGAAAGATAAACCATCAATGTTCTCAGTTGTTTGAGTTGGGGAAAAACTGAAAATAAGCTCTTCAGCTAAACTAATTTTAAAGTCCATGAATTTAAGAATTTCTTTTTTTCTTTTCCCCAAAAATATTCTGTCTTGCTTGTATTCTGACCAAGAGTTTGCTGTAGCAAAATCAAATAAGAAAAAGATTGTTTTAATAGTCCATTTCTTGGTTCTTGCCTTGATCCTGTAGTAACTAATTGTTCTATCTAATAAGTCATCACCCCCCATATTCATGTTGTATTCTCTTACAATTTGAGGGCGTTTCACTTGAATAAACTTTTTTTCTTTCTTAAACCATCTTCTGCACATATCTTCCTCTCCCACTCCTGCTACAGTTGATGCCAAGAAAATGGCTTTATTGTCTATCCATTTTACAATAGCAATTTTAGCCTCATCATTAACAGATTGGTCAGAACTCCCTCATCCTAATCTCTCTAGTGCTCGATCTTCTAAAAGCTTCACACCCTTTGGAATTCTGTTTTTCATTAGAGTACCAGTTCCAGCAATTCCTCTGTCATGTAAAGCACTCAGCAGGCTGATTGTAGTAAAATATCTGTCAAAGTATATCTTTGTACCTGCTTCTAAGGTTTTACTAAGGTACAGTACAGCTGATTCTCCTAAACTAGCAATTTTTCTATCTATGTTGTAAGTAGGAAATGTTGTTTTAGCTTGGTAAATACAGAAATCAAGGGCTAATCCACTAGGTGCTGCTAAAACAAAGTTTTTTAATCCTACTGGATTTGGCTTCCTTGGCACATACTGTTTCAATTGTGACACACCAGTAAAAGGGATCATTTGTTCATCAATACAAACACATGCTGGACGAGGCAATGCCAAGCATACATCTCTGAATTTATTAACCACTGGTTCAATTTTCCAGACTTTGTTTTCCTGTTTGTGGCTATCTTCAACTAGGCTGTCAACAAGTTTGATCGTATCATAAAATACCTGTCCCTGGTCATTGCATTTGCAATAGTTTGCACTCGTGTAGCCCTTCCCCAATACATTCCTAGCTGAGGATACCCAAGGATACTCGTTAAAAATGTCATTCCAAAGAAGATTTTTATTTCTGAAGCTGACACATTCAGACTTTTACCAGATTTTTCAACAGATGTTAAATTTGTAGCTTTTGTAATTAATTCATAGAGTTCATCATCAGCATACTGTAAGAAATAATCAATAGGTTTCCAGTTATAATGATCTTCAGCACGATGACCTATAGCATTTTGACAGTTTGATGGGGGAAGCAAAGTTGCATCAAATGATGTAGAATTCTTCCAAATTCTTTGACACCTTCTCTTAGGTCCAGATAGACGAGATGGTCCAGGCTGAGGATCATTTAAATCTTCAATTTCCTCTTCAGAAGATGATGATGATTCTGAAGATGATGAAGAGGAGGGATAATTAAAGTCTCATCTTCATCTCCACTACCTTTACCAACATCCAAGTCACTATCATCCCCAAATTGTTCTAATTGTTTCAAAAAATCATCAGCTGATATAGCTAAAATGAAAAACAAACAATTGTTACTGGAGCAGAAATAAGTAAACAAAACGTAAGCCTAATGCAAACTTAGAAGCAGTGAATCCTGACATCCATTAGAATGGATGTTTTTAAATTTCTTGTATATCGATAAAAATGTATAAAAGCATCGTAAAATCAGATATGATATAATAATTAAAAAATACAAAAATTTAATTATTTAAAATAATATTACGCTTTTACTATATATTAAGATTAAAAACGACTAATAATTACCTCTATTCCTTCTGAAACGAAAATGTGTTGTTGACGCCGCCATGTTGAAAATAAAAAGTAAAAAACAATGTTGCCAGACGCCTGACGATGAAAAGTGAAAACTCCACTAAAAAGGATTCCTGGTCTGAACTCGATAAAATGAACAGAAAAATATTAAACAAATAAAAACAAACATCCATTTTAATGGATGAGAGGTCGGAGGAGGATATGATGAAAAATAAAGCAAGTTTTCATATTTTTCTTAGCAATGAAGAAAGGCAAAATAAATGGATTTATGTGGAAATAATTAAACATGGTTCATATTAATTGCCTATATTATATACATATTTGTGTGATAAACATTTCATTTTGAGTGCCTTAACAATAGTAATTATTAGACATGATTGATCAATAGGATGACTATCATGCCAAAATACTGTATAAAAAAATAAAATGGAGAAGACACTGAGGTCAGCATTACAGATAAGAAAAATGTACATGTAATGCCGACCTCAGTGTCTTCTCCGTTTTATTTTATTATTAGACATGATTATCAGAGATGATCATTTTTCTATATTTGTTTGCAGAGATAACAATTAAAGATTTACTCCCACGTTAATCTCAGTTATTTGATATAAATTAATAACAAACAAAACTTACTAATACACCTTATCTTGCAGCCGAAGTTTATTACTTCAAACGTTTTCAGTCATGTTAAATGACCTTTCTCAAGAAAAAGCAAATAAAAGATAAAAACTGTAAAAATTGAATGCTTAGTACAAACGAACAAGCTTTTCGAATGTTTTTGAACTCATATTTAATTAATAATACGGATAATAATAATCAATAAATTAATATGGAATAAATCTCTCCTAATCTTATTGGGCTCCAATTTGAAAAAACTGTAGACCTGTAAATTCCTGTTGTCATCTGCCCGTTTGTCTTTCCTTAATCTCGAGAACAGAGTTAGATGAAAGCTGAGACCAGATATGGAAACCTTTGGGGCAGGAGACCCCGATTAACTATATTCAAACCAGAAGTCATGTTATTTTAATTCAAAAATTTCCCCTGAGAGGAATTAGGTAGATGACCAGCACAACTCAATTGCTAAGGAAAAGTATGATACACACGGGCAAGACACTGCTAATTTGAAGATGGAGAGGATATATTTTAAATGAAACAAGTAAAACCATATTTGGGACAAGACTATGTCTCGGAGACTTGCTACTAAGTGGAATCTCTTTGATGCTCAAGACAGGTCTTATTCTCGTTCTCCAATCTTTGGTATCGCTGCTTTTGGGTGCAATTGTTCAAACTTCGTCAGTCATGACCACAAGGTTGTCCACGATACATTTTGATGAAATTAACTATCCAATTTCAAAATTTCTCTCCGTTGCGTGTCGGCTCGGGTTGAATTTTTGTTGATGCGTAACAAAAATTTCCCGTTTTTGAAAAAAATAATCACGGCTATTATATCATCTGAAATTATTTTTTTATTTTGCACAAACAATGTACCGTTTAACCTGATTATAACATCATCGGATGTAATGACAACCCTAATATAACATCTAATTTTTATCGGTTCCATGATTTTACTATACTAGATAATGTTAAAAAACCTACTTGTAATGACATAAAACCCTGTTTTAAAGTCATATTTGAAGCACACCCAAATGTACAAAATTAGATTACTAATTTTATTTAACAGAAAATACTGTGTGTTCAGTCCTAGGGTCAGAGTTCACTTCCTAGAACAACTGTGGGTGGTACTCTCACCACTTGACTTCAGTTTGCCTGTTTGTAGGGAGAGTCGACATTTTGTATTTTATTTTCACTCGGTTCTTGGTCCCTTGAGTACTTACAAATCTGGTTTTTTTTTTGTGTGCACATGATTTGGGCACCTAATACTCTGTGCCAAATTGCAACTCCTGACCTGTACTCCTTCATACCTCTAAGCTGGTAACACAGCAGACAGTATGATTTTATAAACAAGACATAGTCTTGTCAATAAATTAAAAATATAAATAAAAATTACAGCTCAGTATTGTGACAATGTCACAATAAAATAATTACTTATTATATATGCATTATCTTGGCCTATAATGCCTGCATATGCAATTGAATTTGAATTTCAGTCAACTATATAATGAATCTCAAACATTTTCAGAAATTTTATACATTTGTGGGGCTCTAGAAGTGGGACTGGAACTACACTAAAAATAAAAAAGAAAAGAAAAAAAAACCATGTTGTTTTGTAAAAAAAATTTTTTATAAAGCCATTTAAGAAAAGGGTATAAACTTTATGCCCATATAAGGACATGTTTGATGGAATTGTTAGAAAAGAGTGCATCTCAGGTTAAAACAATAGATGAATGTAAGTCCTAAGATTGAACGTCTTTGATAGGGATCAAATTGTTAGTCGGTGTTGTCTCATCTCGCGATCTGGGTTCTGATGTTGTTACGTTTTGTAACGAGCAAAGACCAATTGGAAAGCCTAGGTGAGTTGGTATCAACCTATCGGAATGTTTGGTCTGGGACCTGAAAAAACTTATAAAAAAGCATTTTCAAGGACATGGAAAGCTTCTCCCCGTTTTCCTATTGTGCAGCACCATTCTCAGTTAAAAACCTCTGCATCCCGACATCAAACTGGATACCCATCGATTACTCTACAGACTTTCTCCAATCAATGCCTCAGGGTCATCGATTTCCCAAAAGGGACCTGGAAGGATAGTTCAAGTAGGACATTCGCTGAAAGAAACAAATTGGAAGACTTGATTTTGCCTATGAATTGTCAACTGTTGTAGCTGTAAGCTTATTCTTTTAGTTATAATAAACCAAATAACTATTTGTAACTGTGGAGTTTGTCTCTGCGCAAAACGCTCCCACTCACACTTCAGAGTGATTTGGATAATCTGACTTCACATGCGGTTTGGCAACCTCCCACGTTCCTTTCCCTGGAATGATATAATTTTTACAAGTATATTTCTCTTTTTAATAAATTAAACCATTATTTTGAGTCTCTTTTTAAAAACAAAAATTGTTTTGATAAAGATTTCATGTTCAAAGATAAGCGAAAAATAATTTTGACACTACATATTCACATAGAAAAATTTTATAAGTTACAAATTGTGGTTTTGTTAAAATTCTTAAGGAACTCAAACTCTTACACAAATCATCCATTTATATTACCATCAATATTTCTATATTTACCTGAAAGCAAAAGAAATAGCCAAAAGCAATTAAACAGATGTAAATGTAATTTTATATATATAGATTACATGTCCTGACTGACTGACTGACTGATTGATTCATCATTGCCCAGAGCAAATAGCTGAACCTAGAGGTAAAATTTGGTACACAGTTAGGGTACATCACGAATATGCACACTAAGAAGGGATTTTTCGAAATCCCCCCTGGGGGAGAAGGAGAGAATTAAAGCTTAACTTGAAGAACGGCTTCTACTGTACTATTTTAGATGCAATTTTTTGTTTTTAACTGCATTTTAGTAGGGCATGCAATGAGAATGCACACTAAAAAGGAATTTTTGGAAATTTTGCCATGGGGGAGAGGGATAGGATTAAGGCTTAAAATCTCTTAGCCATGAAAAGTAGTACCACAAATGTGGTTTATAAAGAGGTACTGGGGTAACTAAAACTGTATTTTTCTGTAAATATTTATACTTTAGGAATTTTTAGGTAACTTCATTTACGTTTTGAAATGATAGAAATAACTATCCACCCGAAGCAATCTAAGAAAAATATTTTGGATAAGGCTGCACTAGCAGTATCTTCATATCTTCGATTTTAGAAACATCTATTTAGTTATAAACGAATCGTTTGAAAAGTCTAATGAAATAAGAATAACGATGACATCATTCTCATTTAACTCGTTCAACTTTACGAACGTACCCTCAGTCAGATAACTTTAATGAATTGAACAAATGTTTTAGAATTGAGTTTTGATATGAGATCAATTTTCTTATACAAAACATTTCATAAAGTTATCAAATGTACTAGAAATTTAGATTTGCTTTTTATAATACTTATTATATTAGATGAAAATTAAATTTATTGTAATTAATTATTTTCAGATCTAGATCTAGATCTCCTCTGAATAGTCCTCAGGAACGTAATCATAGCAGTAGTCGTGATTCAAGTTCAACACGAGAAAGAGATCGTTCACAAAGAAATCGAAGAAATATGGGTGATGGACGGAGAGAAGACAGACGATCTCGCGCTCCATCTAATAGACGCGTGTATGTTGCTAATATACCATATGATTGCAAGTGGACAGATATTAAAGATATTTTTAGAGAAAAAGGTATATATATATATATATTTTTTTTTTTTTTTTTTTTTT